TACAGGATTTACATATTCAGATACTGTCTTTTAATCAATAATGTAAAGGCTGAAAACAACCAACTCCAATCCTTATGTGAGAACTATATCTGAACTGGATTGAAAAGGAATACTGAAAACATAAAGAATATCCTAAAAACATTTAAAAGAATTGAACAATAGGACTGAGCAGGGCATTTGGAATAAGAAAGGAACAGAAACAATTTTTAAATGGCTAAGTAACAGTCTTATACATAATAGATCAACCTGCTTTGCATCTCTCTGGAATATGAAAAAAATGTTTTGTTGTAGTGGATTAAGAAAAGAAAAAAATTGTCCTCAGAAGGCTGCTGGTTTATCTTTTTAAACTGTCTACTCCTACCAACTGTTTCACGTCACAAAGCTTTTCTGAGTAGACATGAGAGAACTAGTTAGCCCATTCCTTGTCAATTACAGCAACAATCTATACTTAATAAAATCTCAATTTCTAAAAAATAACACTTTTTTTTTGGTACACTAGCATGGAACCAAACAGAACAACTAGAGTTAGCCAACATAAAAGAATAAAATATAATGGAGGTAGCAACAGTCTGTCATTTCTAACACAAAGAATCCAGTTCTAAAAAACATATTACAAAAAAACTGCCAGCCATTTAGAGTCAAGATGGTGGAATAGGTAAACTCCGTGCTCACCTTCTCTAACGATCACATCTAAATTACAGCTCGACCACAGAACAACCATCATTGAGAATCACCTGAAGTCTAGCTGAACCAAAGCCCTACAGCTATGGACATACAGAAAAAGCCACTTGGAGACTGGAAGGAGGGACATCAGCCACTGCACCACAGCTCCTTCACTGAAGTCACAGTCAGTCCTCACAACCAATGAGTCCAAAGGTCAATCCCTCCTATTGACATGCAAACAGAAACCAAGGCTCAACTACAACAGGAAGGCACACACAACCCATATAAGAGACACACCTGGAACACCTGGCTCTGGTGACCAGGGAGACTGCACCACTGGCTCCCACAGGACAAGTACTACAGAAGGCCACTCTACTAAGACTGGGAGGCACAGCAGCCCTACCTAATACATAGAAACAAACATAGGGAGGCAGCCAAAATGGGGAAAGAAAGAAACATTTCCCAAATGAAAGAACAGAACACATTACATTAATCAACAGTAGATTAGATGAAGCAGAGGACTGAATCAGCAATTTAGAAGATAAGGTAGCAGAACACACCCAATCAGAACAGCAAAAAGAAAAAAATAATCCATAGAAATGAGGATAGTTTAAGGGGCTTGTAGGACAACATCAAGTGTAGGGTACCAGAAGGAAAACAGAAAGAGCAAGGAGTTAAAATCCTATTTGGAGAAATAATGACAGAAAACTTTCCTAACCTGGAGAAGGAAATACATATGCAAAGCCAGGAAGCACAGAGAGTCCCAAACAAGATAAACCCAAACAGGTCCACACCAAGACACACCATAATTAAGATGCCAAAAGTTAAAGACAAAGACAGAGTCCTAAAAGCAGCAAGAGAAAGACAGCAGGTTACATACAAAGGAATGCCTATAAGACTAACAGCTGACTTTTCTACAGAAACTCTGCAGGCCAGAAGGGAGTGGCAGGAAATATTCAAAGTGATGAAAAACAAGGACCTACAACCAAGCTTACTCTACCCACCAAAGCTATCATTTAGAATCAAAGGCCACATAAAGAGCTTCCCAGACAAAAAAAAAAGCTAAAGAAGTTCATTACCATCAAACCAATATTACAAGGAATCTTAGAGGGTTTTCTGTAAGAAGAAAAAAAACAAAGAAGATCAAAAATATGAATAACAAAAAGGCAATAACTACATATCTGTCAACAATTATTTTAAGTATAAATGGACTAAATGTTTCAATCAAAAGATAGGGTGGCTGAACGGATAAGAAAACCAGACCTTTACAATCACTGTCTACAAGAGACTCAGTTCAGATTAAAAGACACAGAGACTGAAAGTAAAAGGGATGGGAAAAAGATATTTCATGAAAGTGGAAACAAACAAACAAAAAAACCCAACAACAAAAAAAGCTGAGGTAGCAATACTTATACTAGACAAAACAGACTTTAAAACAAAGGCTACAATAAGAGACAAAGAAGGGCCCAGTAATCCTACTTCTGGGTATTTATCTGAAGAAACCCAAAATGCTACTTCAAGGAGGCATGTGCATTGATTGATATGGTCACTGCAGCATTGTTTACAGTGGCCAAGACGTGGAGGCAATCTGGTGTCTGTCGATGGAAGAATGGATAAAGAGGAGGTGGTACATATATATAATAGAATATTGCTCTGCCATGGATGGGAATGGGTTCTCACCATCTGCAGAGGCATCGGTGGATCTGGAGGGTGTTGTGCTGAGTGAAGTATGTCAGATAGAAAAAGACAGATGCAATGCAATTTCGCTTGTATGTAGAATTTATAGAACAAAATTAAAAAATAAATAAAAAATAAAACAGAAGCAAACTCATGGATACAGAGAACATTTTAATGGTTGCCAGATTGGAGGGGGTTTCGGGGTGAGTGAGAAAAGTGAAGGGATTAAGAAGTACAAATGGGTTGGTACACAGTAGTCATGGAAATATAGGGTATATAGCATAGGAATATAGTCAATAATAATGTAATAACTATGTATGGTGTCAGATGGGTACTAGATTTATAGAAGTTGTAGATGGGAAGGGAACTGGGGGACAGGGTGAAAAAGGTGAAGTGATTAAGAAGTACAAATTGGTTGTTACAAAACATGGGGATGTAAAGTAAAGGCCAAAGAATATAGTCAATAATATGGTAATAACTATGTATAGTGCTAGGTGGGTACTAAACTAGTAAAGGGGATAACTTCTTAAATTATATATCTAGCCCTATAGGCTGTACACCTGAAATTAATATAAAATAATATTGAATGTCAAAATAAATAAAGTATAAAAAAATTTTTTTAAAGACTTTAAATCTGACAAAGACTGCCTCCTTAGCTCTCATTTTCAAATATCTCTATGTCTTTGATCATTCCTCAGGTGTCTTAGAAACCAATCTTTCTCTCTTTCCTTCAATGATTCCTCCCTATTCTACACATCTGAAATAAAAACCTCATTTCCCCCCTAATGATATTGTTCATAATCCTAATTACTTTAAGCTATCACTAAATATAGAATCAGGGATCAGGTATGGAGCTCAAAGGAACGAATTTGCACATCATCTGCCTTGAAAGAAGCACAGTATCTCTTTCACCAAGCACTCTACCCTCTAAACATTCACATCGACTCAGAGATCTTTTCTTTATTATAATTAATAATGGTATAAAGTGTGTCTGATTTCTGTATATTTTATAATTTATAAAAAAATCTCTATATATAAACTATTCATGTTATTTTGCTTTTGCTTCCTCGTTTCCATTTGCTTCTAAACATGTAAGAATCAGGAATTTTTATGATTTGAGGCTTTACTAAGGAGAATACGTGAAAGGTCAATTAACAAAGGACAGAAAAACAGAAGACATTATTTTAAACCATATAACAAAACCCCCAGAAAATAAAGCATTTCAAAGAAGGACTGATAAAAGAACAAAAAGACAGATAAATTCATAGAGCATAGTGTTATATAAATGTATTCCCCTTTTCCTGTCAGGACTGTTGAAATAAAATGGAAACAAATAGCACTTGAAGAGCAGTTTGAAATCATTATGTGTATAAGCTATACCTCTATTTCTCGGGCTTTAATTTAATATAGTCTTGATATACCATTCTCTCCTTACAAAAGGACATTATTTTAGTTTCAAGACTGAAATGAAAAAAAGATATCTCAAGGCACTTTTTAGGAGAAGAAAGTTCACAGATTATTCAAATAGCCACTTCATAAAACACATGACCATATAATTAAAGCACATGGGAGAAATTTATATCTGTCATCATCATAATAGGTAATCAAATTTAATTCAATAACTAATCACTGGTATTTTGTGTGGCTGGAGTAACTAATTTTTTTAATGAGATAACATGGGTTTAAGATGGGCATAATTTATACAAGGCCTGAAATAATTCCTTGAAGTACTCGGCAAACTCAGTAACATGTTTTTTAAAAATTAAATCAAGAATGATGAATACAACTGTATGAGGACCACATTCCCTTCAGTTTTTACTTAGGTCTGATAGCACCTATTGCTACTATTGCTACACTGTATTATAATAACACATGATCCGTAACTTCAGAATATGTATTTCCTTAGTCAAAGTTCCTTCTATCAACAGGATTAATATGTTGGCACAAAGTATGCTCTCAGTATGTAAATATAATTAACACAAAGTAAGCTATGGATCGGTAAGTATAAGGATAACAGGCCTATCTCTTCATTTAATTCCACAATGACACTATTTATGATTTTATACTCAATACTTAAGTAAATTAAAACTCTTAAATGTAATCTAACATTAATCTTTAATGATATTTGTAAAAATGGTTTAGAAAGTCTTCTCCAGGAATCTTTCGCAATGAGCAGCTGAAATAATCTTCTCCTTTTTAAATGTTCTATGTTCTTTTAAAAATAGCCACAAGAGGTCAGTCTTTCCTAAGAAGTAAGTTTAATATGCCTCAGTACCTTGAAGATACTCATCTATTTTTGCAATAAACTATATTACCCATCATAAATCAAATTTGAATCCTGCACGTATTAAAGTCAGTGAAGTCATCAAATCTTTGCGGATTCAACAAAAAATTACAGATCACAATGACTGTACAGCTACAACTGAAAAACAGCTTCATATTTAACTTCACTTGATTCAGCATGGGGATTAAATCTTTACCAGTTCTACTTGTGAAGAAGCAAGCTATTAAGAAGTTGATTGTTAACTGAACATTCTAAAAAAAAAACAAATACATGAGATTTGGGTGTTACAAACTATAGCAAAACAGATGAGTGTGGATTCGTATTAAGCTATTTGATATATGAACGTTTCAAAAGCCATAGCGCCATGCATTCTTACCTTGCCAACTGTCATTGCAGACACACAGCTTTTCTCCTGTTAGGTCACAGTAGCCGTGATCTGGGCTGCCGCAGTTGGCTTTACAGTAAGGAATATCACAAGCTTCGCCCTTCCAGTACTTATCACATTCACAATACACTTGACTGGGAACAGAGATACTAGTTGTGCACTTCCCATGACCAGAGCAATTGTTAGGACAAGAATTGATTCTGTAAAATACAATTCATACATATTCAAATTCAAGGTCACTGAAAAATCATTTTGGTTGATGATTTTGTAAGCTTCATAATTTTTATGTTATTTTATGTACTTCATTTAATGCAATTTCACAATGAAATGTCAACTAAACTCTGTACCCTTTACCCCTAATGCAATTCAGTTACATTTTCTTGCCACTGGCCTGAGTTTGTCCAATGAGTTTACCTGGCTACCAAGACTTCACACTTCCAAGGACTACACACTCAACATCTGCAGGATATATACAGTTCCAAGCACAATGCTTTGTAAAGACTTACGAACTTAAAAGTTTTGAATATATATTTTACAGAAAAAAAATTAATTCATAAATACCTGAAACAACATAAGCCAAGATATAACTTGGTTATATAATATTTAAATAGCATGTTATCACCTATATACTGTTACATAGAAACGAGATGTTTGTCAAATTTTGTTTTAAGGCCCTTTAACCAATGACATTCTTTCTACTATACATTTATTCTCCCTTACATACATACGCGAGACAAATAAATCCTATAATAAATTGCTGATTCTACTGGGCTGTCGGAACTCATGACGCATTTCTGCAACGAAAAACATAGAAAAAATATGTCGTGACTTTTCTGACAACCCAGTAGATATTTAGAATATTTTATTTCTGGTGAAAAAGTCTCTGGTTATCATTTTTCTACATTCCTAAAGAAAACAAAATTGCATCTAGTTGCTCTGTGCCACTCCTGTGTCTGTCCCTTTCCTGTGAAAGCATCTGAAAGTCTCTCTGGCTACATCACTTCACCCTGGCACTTTCGGATAAAACAAATTTATATAAAGTGTAAGACACAGCAAAGATTCTCAATAAATACTATTTTTCTTATTTTAGAGGAGACAGTGGGATAGCCACTTAGCTAATCTCTGAAAGCCTCAATTTCCTTATGTGTAAAATGGGAAAGAGTCCCACTTGACAGAATTGTGAAGAGAATGCAAGAACATAATGTATACAGAGCCTCCAGTACAGTCTCTGGGATACGAAAGGACTATGAAAACCTAGCTCCCATATGGCTTTTCAAATTGGGAGTCGAATACCTTGGAGCACAGAGAGGCAGGTGACTGACTCCCAGTAATAATCCCACATGCCTGTCGCTACGAGTGAAATTACATTACTTTGTATTTGCCTACATCATTTACCAACAAACAATTTTAAATTTCATAATTTTCAACCAAAATTAACGTGCTAACAAAATGTCCTGAGACTTAGAATGTATCCTAAAAGAAGCTTGGACAGTATATTGAAGCATGTTATTAAGATTTTACATCACTTATATTTTGAAATTTAACACACTAATTTCTAGCCTGCTCCTCATATATAAGATATTTACAAAACAAACAGTAAACTCTTTGAAGTCGACCTATAAGAATCATTACAATTTGAAATTTTTTGAAATACTTACGAGTAAAAAATGTTGAAACCAGTTAGATTATACGCAGCATCACTAAAAAAATGTAAGAGTGCATAGCCAGATGTTGTGACCACTTCAGGCACAGTTTCATTCCCCCTTATCTCAGGAACAATCAAACCACTGTAAGGGAGCAAAATTGGGCGTTGTGTATATTAATATACATATGACTATTAATCACATAACACTTACTCAAAAATGTGCTTCTCATAATCACTAAGTATCTCTATCACACTGAGCAACTAGAAGGAGAATAAATCAAAAACAAGGTCCCAGCCATTTCTCACGCAATTAGCTCTACTACTGCTGTCAACAGAGGAACAGCTGCTTTCATGCCACCACACTCCTTTTCTTCTTGTCCCCATTTAGGCTCACTGTGCTGCTATCCATCCTCTCATAATGCTATAGGGTGGTCTTTTTCTTAACTCATATATAAACCTGCACTTAAAGCCACCTTGGTCCTCTGACCTTGTCGCTTTACTTTTTGCCACTCGTTGCTGATTCTGATGAAGCCAGAAGGAACACTTCACACCAGCTAAGTGACCACGATGACATTCTAGTTAATGCCATACACTTCCAATACACTAATGGGGGTGTTTTAGATCATCTAAAAATATATACTTTTTATATTTCCTTAAAATTTTGCATTCTCATACAAACTATATTAATATAGGACTATTCCAAAAGACAGTATCACTCACTTAAGCTCATATGCACACAGAAAAAAACTATCTTTGTTGGGAGGGATATAAACGTGCAAAAGCAAGAGTGGTGAGGGCCGGCCCAGTGGCGCGATGGTTGGGAACTGGCTTGGGATGCCGGAGGGCCCCGGTTCGGATCCCATATATGAGGGCCGGTGACACTGCCCTCCACAGCTGAGATGCTGAGCAGCAGCTCGGCCTGGAGCTGGGCTGCCGTGGGTCGCCGGCGACGGCGTGGGCTGCAGTCCCTGTGGCAGTGGGTTGCCATGGGCTACCGTGTGTAGCCAGCAGCCAGCGTGAGCAGCCAGCAGCCAGCGTGAGCAGCCAGCAGCCGCAGTGAGCGGCCGTCCAGAAGCCGGCGACTGATCTGCCTCGCCAGGGAAGAGCGCGGTGATGGTGCCAACTTGGGCCGGTGGGGCGGCGTCCTCCACAGCTAGATTGGGGAGCGATGGGACAGCAGCTTGTCTGTTCCCCTTTCCCCAATTCCCCAGCACTGTTCCCGTCCCCCCAATTCCCCAATAAAAATCTTAAAAAAAAAAAAAAAAAGCAAGAGTGGTGAGTTAGGAACTGGTACTTCTTTTTTAAGCCTCCTTGTTCATGGGGGGAAATTACGTATCTTCATTTACTTACACCAAACTGTCCTCTCTAAATCTGTGAAAACATGCCATATAAGAAAGAAGCTGCTAACACCAAATACAGTACTCAAAACAGTCAATTCCTTCAGACACTGTTAAACTTATTTCTAGGCACCACCAGGAACTGAATTCCCCATTCAAATCATATTTGACAGAATAAAAAATATTATAGTCAAGTCACTTATTTTGCAAATATAGTCTCAAAAGGAAACAAATTAAAAAGTAATCAACTCTTGATGCTTTAATAATTAGTATTACACCTACTGGCTTATGTTTGTGAAGGAACAAAAGACTTATTATAGAATTCAAATTCTATAATGCCAGTCTTAGTTACACATGTATTTTTCATTGTAGTGAGATTATATCAAAATGAATACATTGCTAAAAATAATACTCCCACGTCTTTATAATCAAGTTAATCTCTCTGAAACAGATGAAAAGAACAGATATGTTTGTTTGGTTGTATGTTCATAAGTATTTTAAAAGCATTAAATGCAAAATGGTTTCCACTTCTTGCATAACACACCAAGCAATCTGGACCAACCAACCCTGCCACTGACGTCAACTAGAAAAATGACAACGTTTATAAAAACGAACAGATCAGCTTGAAGGTACTACAGAACCAAGAAGGTGAGCCCAGGCACTGGGGCCATTTCTCCTTATAGGCATTTGATGATTGCAAAGGTGGAGGTGAGGTCTGAAGGGTTAAGAAACTAGGTTGTATTACAGAGCTAAGAAAACAAAAAGTGGAAGCCTGGGCACTCACTTTGACTTGGGACCCCCCCCCCCAAAGACTAGACATAAAAGTGAAAGACAGGCCCCCAGGGGACTGCACTGCAGCATGGGTGTGAGTCACCTCAATACCTGAAGTCGGACTCAGCTGACTGTGGGTTGCTAGTGTCCCCAGGCACCTTCTGTAGGAATGTAATGCTTTTCTAGGTCTCAGATTATTACTACATATGATTTTACAAACCATCATGTCCAGCACGATTGTCCAACACATAAGAAAAAAAATAACACTTCTCCAATCCAATCCATTCTCCACATTCTAAAAACATCTTGCTTATATAATAAAGTCCAAAAAAAAAAAAAGAAAGTCCAACTAATTTAGTGTGGTATACAAGAAAGCAATACTACAGCTATTAAGGGATCATAAAACCTGAGCTCATATTCTGACTCCATCACTGATTAGCTAGGCAAATGGGTGACTCACAGAAACTCTGTGCCTTAATTCTCCATTTATAAAGTGGCAACAATAATACCTCAGTAAAGGGTTATCGTGAGGATTAAACGAGGTCACGTACATAAAGAACTCGTGCACACTGCCTGGCATATCATCAGCATTCAGTAGATAGTACAGATTACTGTTGATTAAGTAATCTGGCTCCTACCTATCCCTTCACATTTCCTATGATCAGGTGACTCATAAATACTATTACCCCAAAATATAATGTTCTTTAATATGACTGCCTTTGTATGTGTTTTCCTCTACCAAGAATATCCTATCTGGTCCCCAGACTTTGCCTATCATTCTACTACGCATGATGAAATTCACCATGAAGAATTAGTTACTTCTTCTGAAATCATGTAGCACTCTTTCAAAACTTGATTGTAATACTTATTGCGTTGTTTTAAAAGTCTTTTTACATGCTGCCTGCAGTGCCTAACTACTATGTAGTGACATAGCCTCAAATCCTTAGGACTTCCCAAGTGATAGGAGTATCTCTGTTATTCATGGTAGGCCCTGCCAGTTTATGGTAATGAGAGGACTCGTGGTGAGCTAGACAGATAGGAGCTGGCCACAGCAGAAAGACCAACCATGTGATTTAAATGCTTGGGGCTTTAATAAGACTTCCAGAGAGAGGAGAGGGACTAGAGATTGAGTTCAGCCAATGATTCAATCAATCATGCCTACACAATGAAACCCCAATAAAACCTCTGTACACCTGTGGGTCAGCTGAGCTTCCTGAATGGTGATACACAGTAATGTGTGGGGAGGTAACACGCCCTGAGGACACAGAAGTTTTGTTTATGATCCTCCCAGACCTCTCCCTATGTGTCTCTTCATTTGGCTGGTTCTGATCTTTATACTTTATAATCAGTATAGTGCTTTCCTGAGTTCTGTGAGTCATTCCTGAAAATTATTGAACCTGAGGGGGTAGCTGGAACCCCTAAATTTGTAGCCAGCTGGTCCGAAGTGCAAGCAGCATGGGAACCCCTGAACTTGCAGCTGGTGTCTGAACTAAGGAGTTTTATGGAGGGGTGTGCACTTAACCTATGAAGTCTGACCCAACTCCAGGTAGTTGGTATCTGAAGTCGCTGCAATGGCCTATATCTTATTCCTTACTACATCCTCCAGATTTATGATAGTCTCTGGAATTCAGTAGGTTATCAAAATTTCGTTAAATAGCAAATACTCACACAACTGGAATAATTTGTACAATTAGATTCTGAATTCTTAGCAAAGTGAAATACAGACAGTTTAGCTTTTAAGTCAGGAGACTGTCAAGTCCTAATCCTGGCATCTCACTTGCTGAAAATAAATGTATGAACCCAGCATCTTATCTACCTTACAACATAACTATTCACAAGGCTCTACTCCATTTTCTATCTATTGTCCTTAGATGAAGGGCTATTCATGGCTACCCTTTATATAATTTTCAAACAACTGAAAAATTAAGTTCTAAAAGTTTTGAGCAATAGCAATATCACAGAACAAGTGTCTAAGCTTTCAAGGAGTCACTTTTAAATAATCATTTGGAAATACAAGTCCTTACATGTTTGTCCAAAAAACTAATAGTTTACATTCCTGATAAACGGACTATTTGAAACACATTAGTTAAATTATACACAATATCCACACTACATGGTCAAAATTTTTCCTATGTCTAATACATTTTCTCCTATTCACAAAACATTTTATAATTTGTACATACACACATAGAAAACATATTTAAATTGATAATGAAGATGCTGCAATTTTAAAATTGTCTGACCACCTGACCAATAAAATATTGTGAAGCAACCAAGTTCTCAAATTTTGAGAATTAATAGACTCACATTCTTTTTTAAACCATTACATAAAGCATAACTTAACCTTTTTAAAAGAATTTAAAGTTTTATTATTTCACTAAAATAAAGACAGCTATAAAATATATAGATACCTGTCTATTTATTTCTTTGTCAGCTAGAATTCACATTAATCTATCCAAATAGTTCATATTCAAATCACTTTAAAAGAATGATCTATAAATGGCAAGAATAAAGGGTATTTATTAAGAAATCTACATTTCTGATACAGTAATTCTTTATCTTTGCTATCTCAATATTTACATGATTATATATATATACACCTAAGTTAACAGTCACAGTATTCAAAATAGTATTATAACTATGTTTGAAATTTAGCCACCAAAATCTCCACAAATTTTTTGGTAGTACAGATCAGTATACACTTAAAATTAATAAATTATATCATTACTTTTCAACAATTGTAAGTTCATCAATTAAATATAATTACTCATGGGGCCGGCCAAGTGGCGCGATGGTTAAGAACTGGCCTGGGACACCAGAGGGCCCCGGTTCGGATCCCACATATGAGGGCCAGTGACACTGCCCTCTACAGCTAAGATGCTGAACGACAGCTCGACCTGGAGCTGGGCT